TGGGCAGTTTTTAAGGTATTTTATTAAAGCCCCACTCAATAAAGTGTGTGTGTGTTGGCACATTCCACTTTAATCAAAAGAGTACTCCCCAAACAAACATTTTTCTTTTATTCAGCATTTCCAGCAAATGTTTAAGTTTGAGTTTTTCACCAGTGTAGTGCCCAGAATGTAACACATGAACTTGTATACAATCTTAACAAGTTTAGTTTTTCCAAACTCTTACTCATAAGTAGCACTATAAAACACAATGGAGCTACTTATGAAAGTAAAAATACTACTTGTATATTCATAGTTTTGCAGAATTGGGGCCAATCCTCCATCCTCTGAAGTCAAAAGAAATCCTGCCACTGAATTCAATTACATACAGGATCATGCCCTTTGTTTGTAAGCAGGAGTGCCATGGAGGCAGGTAAAAGACTCAGTTCCAAAATGGTCAATAGGCATTCAATAATTTGTGAATAAATTTGAAGTTTCTAGGTTTCACTGATTTTGAGATATGATGTGCCAAAAAAGCATGCTAACAATTTGCCAGTGTTGATTTACTCCTAATTTTTCCAGCTTCCATACCTCAGAAACTTTAAATGTAAATAGTGAGGGAGGGGAAACACACACACACACACACACAATCCCAATTACAGATGGGCTACTGTCTCTCTTTAGCAATGCCTTAAAACAGGGGTTCTCAAACTGGGGGTTGGGACCTCTCAGGGGGTCGTGAGGTTATTACATGGGGGGTCACGAGCTGTCAACCTCCACCCCAAACCCTGCTTTGCCTCCAGCATTTATAATGGTGTTAAATAGATAAACAAGTGGTTTTAGTTTATAAGAGGGGTCGCACTCAGAGGCTTGCTATGTGAAAGGGGTCACCAGTACAAAAGTTTGAGAGCCACTGCCTTAGAATGTACTTTAATTAAAGTATCAGAGGGGTAGCCGTGTTAGTCTGGACCTGCAAAAGCTTATGCTCCAATACATTTGTTAGTCTATAAGGTGCCACAGGACTCTTTGTTGCTTTTTAATTAAAGTATATGAAATGGATGAAATCTATTCAAACCACATAAAGCTTAGAGTATTCAGGCATTTATGTGGAAGAAATGAAGAACTGTTGGCAAGGTGAAATCCAACCCTTCCCAACCAGAGCTAGGGAACATGGCTGCTAGTCTCCCCACCCTACCTCCCACTTCCTTCAGGTACTACTCCAGCCTTTGAGTTGGAATAGTGGCCACAGCCCTTTTGTGCCAGTTGCACAGGGTGCTGGGCCCATTGGATTTACACAGATGTAGATATGTGATCCTGCCTCATTTCCATTATGCTGTTCTGTGAGAGAATGGGCCTGTGTTGAAGATCCTTTCCATAGCACATAGGTGATGCACAGGTGCACCTGTGTTACCACAAGCACAGCTCCTATGTGGGGCTTTAGTACTGCAGAGGCCCTTGCACCAGTGAATTACACCCAATAATTTTTCCTCTTCAGAATGGCATTCTGAATGCCTATTACTCAGTGCACTACAAAGTCATTTACGGATGAAGTAAAATTATAAATAAAAAATACATCTTGGACCAGCTCCTGCTCCACTGAAGAGGAAGAAATTTGCTGCAGATTTTCAATGAGGGTCTGATCCAACTCCCATTGGCTTCAGTAGTTGGAACAAACCCTGAAAGCAGGAAAAAGTCTTTTAATATGTTGTCCCAGTTACATATCTTCATGAGACTAATTAAAAATCTTTAAATGTCTGTACATCTAGTGTAACATAAGACTCTGGGTTATAGCTGATGTTTATAGGAATATGTGAGTTTACTTAACAGATGTGCTGTATTTTTGACTACTTACATTGGTATTGATTCATTGTAATTCAAGTGATTTTTCAAAAATTATGTTTATTGATATCTCTTTAATTACAAATAAGTGCTAAGTGTTACAAAAACCATTTTGTATACAAATATAATATATCATTTACCATTTCAATCAAAACCCATCAAGTGTTCCATGATTAAATTTTTTGTATCATATTTAAACTTGTGGCATTATTTGGCAAACACTAAATACATTAATAAGTATTGGCCCAACTCCCTGTAGATATAAAAATAAGATTCCTATCTCTATATGCCAAAAGCTCTTGAAGACATTTTCTTTTTTGAATATTTGTCCTTCCAATATATTGCACTGTTATACAAACTTTGAGTATAGGCTAACAAATGAAAGTAAGTTATAGTTATAATTATGGTCATGAACTCCTACAGCACTAGCTAGGCACATTTTGGTTCTAGGTCCCAGTACATAATAGTTCCCATTGGCTGGGAACGGCAAACTGCAGCCACGGGAAGCTGTGGGCGGCCATGCCTGCAGACGGTCAATGTAAACCAACTGTCTCACGGCCCACTAGTGGATTATCCTGACGGGCCGCAGGTTGCCCACCACTGGTCTATACACTCATTAAAACTCTAGGTGAAAACCTGGCCCCACTAAAGTCAACATACATTTTACCATTGAATTCACTGGGGTCAGGATTTCACCCATAATATTTTATATGTTGCTGCCACATTCATTGTCTCAACTGGCTAAAGTGATCGGTTCCTGTTTCTGACTATTTATGCTATCTGCCTTCCCTACACAGAATAAAATAGACAAGCAGTATTCCAAAGATATATCATTGTTGCTAGAGTAGCAACTCTATTATGACCATTAGATGAATATTATTTCTTTATAATGATTAAATATTTATGATAAAGGCTGCGTGTCTGTCACGGAAGTCATGGATTCCGTAACTTTCCGCGATCTCTGTGACTTCCACAGCTGCAGTGGCCAATGTGGCTGACCTCACGGCCACCCAAGCAGCTGACCTCAGGGCCAACTGCTCAGGTGGCCCCAGGGACATCTGCACCAGCCACTGCTGGAGTGGTCCCACAGCCGGAGTGGCCCCACAGCCAGCCACCCTGGCCGTTGCTGGAGCGGCCCTGAGGACAGTCGCATCAGCTGCTGCTTGGGCAGCCCCGGGCAGCTGGTTCCAGGGACCACGCGAGCAGCTGCAGGTGCGGCGGGCCCTGGGGACTGTCCGAGCAGCGGCAGGTGCGGCGGGCCCTGGGGACCGCCTGAAAAGTGGTCCTGGGGGCAGATGGAGCAGCGGCTGGTGGGGCTGGCTCCAGGAGCCCCCCAGAGCTGTGGCACCCCAGGGGCCCCCCAGAACTGCAGCGCCCCTGGGCAGTTAAGATTTAGTCAATGGTATTTATATAAAGGTCATGGACAGATCACAGGCCCGTGAATTTTTGTTTATTGCCCATGATCTGTCCATGAATTTTACTAAAACTGCCAATGACTAAATTGTAGCCTTATTTATGATAGAATATTTTAAAGTATTAACCCAACTCACAATTTTTTTATTATACATGGGGAACAAATATTTGATCATGGATTCTTCTACCTAGCGTACGAAGGTATAATATGATCCAATGGTTGGAAAGTGAAGCTAGACAAATTGTTTGGAAATACATTGGAACAAGATACAAAGCAATAAGGTGGATTCTCCATCACTGGAAATTTTAAAATCAAGAACAGATGTTTTTCTAAAAGATAAGGTCTAGAAATTATTTTGGAGGAGTTCTATGAGCTTTGTTATACAGATGGTCAGACTAGATGATCACAATGGTCCCTTCTTTGAATTCATAGGAAGGTGTCTCGTGAATAACTGACTGATTTAAGTTTATATACTATTTTTCTCCATAATCAGCCGAATTTAGTTCACAGGAGATGGAAAGTTAGGTTTCAGCATATGAAGTGATGAATGATACAAAATAGCCATAACTTTTAAATATATTTATTTTTCCTTTTTATAGTGACTATTTCTCATTATAAAAACAATATAATAATCCAACTTCTTTATTATTTTATTAAATTCTGACAGTTTAAGTATCTATGAGAATTGCTTGCCCAAGAAATTCTGAGATTCTTAGCCAAGAATTTTAGTTTCAAAATAATACACGGGTGAACTCCTGGCCTCACTGAAGTCAATGACTTAACTACCAATGACTTCAACCGGGCTAGGAATTCACCAATGAGTTTCTAGGGTAAGCAATACTTCTGAAAATGGGCATAAAGCTAGATTCTCAATTCTTAAGAATTACAATAAATAGTTGATGGCTAAGAAAATGGAGAGCACTTTTGGCAGCAGATATACAGGACCATGTGCATCCACAGACTAATTTTATATATGAATTTCACTTATCTCCTTACAATCAATGTTATATCCTTTTCAATGGGAGCATGTTTCTTCTTGACTCCAAATGATTTGAGACTTAGATTCAGCAAGTGTGCCCAATCTTAATATTACTTTAAAACAATCTTTAAATTTAGTTTGTTTAAATAAAAAATATTAAACATGAGCATTTCAACCCATGAAACAAAGGGTAAAACCAAAACAGAAGGTGCACTGGTCCACTTTGAAAACAGAATACCTTCACAGAATCTCACTCCAGCATCCTCATAAAATAATACAGTAAAGAGCAATTTCTCCTCTGATTGGTTGTAAAAAGTTAAAAATTGATTTAAAGTATAAGCCTATGGTGAACGGCAGAGTTTTTACATATTTTTAACAGAAGTCTGAACCACCCTTCATACTTAGCCCCTTCTATCCAATCACAATATTTAAAATGTATATATGATATTAAAAAAGCAAAATGCCATAGATTTAAGGAATGTAACATTATACTAGGATTTAGGCCACAGGTTTTTTCAAACTACAAAATTAAAAAGACTACATTCATCATGTTGCTCAGTGGGTTCAAGTTTAAGCAGATTTCAGTCACTGAGTAATGCCTAATGGAACTACTAATAAGATAAAAGCAAAAGTTTTCACAAAAATTAACTTTTGGATACAGTTGGCCCAATTCAATCAAGTTTAAATTTTAAAAATCGAATTAGTTTTCATCAGCATATTGGATAGAAGTAAATAATTGTCAAATTAATAATCTGATATAAAAGAAATTATATATTTGCCAATGCCTGAAAATGTTTTTGCTGTAATATTTCTATGCAATTTTTACTAAATTTGCTAAGAAACCAAGTTGGCTGAAACATTACTGTTAAAATATATTTTTCTATATAGTATTTATTCAGTCTGCCCAATGCCAAAAAAAATATAATTCAATGATAGGAAGCCAACTTCAATTCTCACTGTGAAATCAGGTACACGGAATCCATCAGATGTTCAATTCCATTGGCATGAACAGTCTGTAGGCTCTTGGATGACGTACATCACTTCAGTGCCATTTCCTGAGCAGTATAGTGGCACAGTCAGGTTCTGTACTCCATTTTCACGACAACATTTACAGAATCTTAAATGGCTATCGATATTGACATTAAAAATTGTAGCTGAGGGGCATTTCCCTTCACAGGAAGCCACATTTATCTATTAGTGACAGAGAAAGAGAAATTATCAAACAAGTTTCATTAACAAGATGAAACAAAACATTTCAAAATTAACTGTAATCAGAATCTGTTTTTACATTTAAAAATATCCAGGGTTTTGTAAAGGATTCTGATTTGTAATAATTATTTTCCCTATTAAAAATCATTTGAAAGTTATCACATACAAAACTATGTTAAATGGTTATGTCAATTCTAAATTGAGGTGAGTCTCTTTGTTCTTGCCTTTTCTTTTTTAAATGAAGTCAGCTTCTAAATGTTGAATTGTTTTGTACTTGTGACCACATATGTTGGCTGAGCCTGAACAAAATTTGGTGCTTTATTCTAAAGCTGTTTATCACTAACTTTTACCTTATACTACCTTCTTCTCCAAGCAATCCACTCCCTAATCCTGGCCTAGCACTGTTGTGGAAGAGCATCTAGGCTTTTGAAGGTAATGAGCCAGATACTAATGTATAAAAGATGACTTAAGTTATATCCAGGTGGAGCTATATGGTACTCCTTAATTAAGGCCTGGTCCAAAGTCCACTGAAGTCAATGGAAAGATTCCATTGGGCTATGGATAGCAGGCCCTTAAACAGGGATATTATTCCTGTGAGAGCAAAAGCCTACCCCATACAGAGCTTCCTACAACCTAAGAAGAGAATCTTCAGATCTTCTTCTCCATTCTCTGGTTCTGAGAAGCTGTTTAAGCTCAAAAACTTGTCCAGCCATTACTAAATCCTAAAATAGATGGATATATTTATAACTTTTAAACTGTGCAGCTAAAGCTGTGTCCTTTACTGTTGGTGGATTAATCTAAGCAAACTGTGGAAAAGTCAATCTTAAGTATTCCTCTGCGGGATCAAGACTGGAAGCACACTAGTGTGATAGCTTTCTCCTTCCTCTTTCAATATGGCTGGCAGCTAGAGAACTGTCATTAGCCACACTATCACTCTGATAGATATATGTGAAAGTATGAGAGCAGAGGTTAGGTCAGCAAGGAACAAGGTGGGAGGGATAGTGGAGGTTGCATAAAAGAACTTGTGACACAGAATCCAATATCCATCTTTTGTATTGTTTGTTTGGGACTTGAACTTTGGCTATGTCTACACTTATGGCAGCATATACAGCACATATACTGCACACTCCCCTGGCATGGGTATAAATGTAGACCGTGAAACACTGCCTAAGCGAGTAAAGACACGCTAGAACCTTAGGGTGTATACCCTACATGGCTCTCTACACACCCAGTGTAGTGTCCCACTCCCTCCCAGCTGCTGGAGCCTTCCCCCGCTGTCTTCCCCCGGCAGAACCTTTCACTGCCGCATGTAACTACACATCACAGTGTGGACATAGCCTACTTTTCACTGCAGCATGTTGCTACACATAATCTATACACCATTGCAAGTGTAGACAAGGCCTATATTACCATGGGTGTTATCCTGACCCTACTAACTTCAGTGGGACCAGGATTTCATCCAATACTTACAGCATATAAACAGTTTTCTGATATGCTATTGTGCTGGGGCAGATTAGAATGCTGATACACAGTTGTAGAATACATAGAATCATGAAATAACATCCATACATATATTTAACATACAAATTGACATAGTGATTCAGACTAGTAGTCCATCCAGTCCAGTATTCTGTCTCTGACAGTCGACAGAACCAGATACTTCAGAGGATGGCATTAAAACTTTGCAATAGGCAAATGTGGAACAAATTGCCCACACATAGGTTTCATCCCAAGCTTTAATAGTTAGAGATTGCCTTTAGCCCTAAATCATAGAATCACAGGACTGGAAGGGGCCTCAAGAGATCATCTAGTCCAGTCCCCTGCACTCATGGCAGGACTAAGTATTATCTAGACCAGTGTTTCTCAAAGCCGGTCCGCCGCTTGTTCAGGGAAAGCCCCTGGCGGGCCGGGCCGGTTTGTTTACCAGCCACGTCCGCAGGTTCGGCCTATCGCGGCTCCCAATGGCCACGGTTCGCCGTTCCAGGCCAATGGGGGCTGCGGGAAGCGGCGTGGGCCGAGGAATGTGCTGGCCGCCCTTCCCGCAGCCCCCATTGGCCTGGAGCGGCGAACTGTGGCCAGTGGGAGCCGCGATCGGCTGAACCTGCGGACGCGGCAGGTAAACTGGCTCAGCCCGCCAGGGGCTTTCCCTGAACAAGCAGTGGACCGGCTTTGAGGAACACTGATCTAGACCATTCCTGAAAGGTGTTTGTCTAACCTGCTCTTAAAAATCTCCAGTGATGGAGATTCCACAACCTCCATAGGCAGCTTATTCCAGCACAAGCTTTAATATCCCTTCCAAAAATTTTGTCTTGAATTATAACTCTGTATCTTCTTAGATATAAATGTCTAATCCATTTTTGAATCTTGTTAAGTTCTTGGCCTCAACAACTTCTTGTGGCAATGAGTTCCACAGCTTAATTACACATTGTGTGAAAAAGTATTTCTTTTATTGGTTGTGAATATCCCACTTTTTCATTTCATTGAAAGTCCCCTAGTTCTTGTATTATGAGACAGGGAGAACAGTTGCTCCCAATCCACCTTCTCTACGCCATTCATTATTGTATATACTCTATCATGTCTGTTATTTGTCTTCTTCCTAATGTACACAATCCCATTCTTTTTAATCTCTCTTCATCTGCAAGTTTTTCTATGACCTTGAATATTCTCGTCCCTGTTCTCTGAACTACCTCCAGTTTTGCAATACAATTTTTGAGATGGGGTGATCTGTACTGTACACGGTATTCCAGGATAGGCCACATCACTGATTTAAAGACATATTTTTGGGATTATTCTCCCTCCCATTCCTTATGCATCCCAACATCTTGTTAGCTTTTTTTGATTGCAGCTGTGCATTGAGCAGAGGTTTGCAATGAGCTATTTTGGATTGATACAGTTAATTTAGAACCTTGTAAGAGTAGCTTACATTTTTCCTCTCAATGTGTATTACTTTTATATTTGCCTACATTAAATTTCATTTGCCATCATGTTGCCCATTTACGTAATTTGTTTAGATCTCTCTGAAGTTCTCAGTCTTCTCTGGTCCTGACTAACCTAAATAACTTTGTCAGCTGCAAACTTTGCTATGCCCCTATTCATACTCCTTTCCAGATCATTAATAAATATATTAAACACCACAGGACCTAGTAAGGAAGTGTCGGACACCTGCTATTAACCTTTTGCAATGATGAAAATTGACCACTTAAACCTACTCTTTGCATTCTAGGTACTAGCCAACTTTTGAACCATAACAATACTTTGCTTTTCACCCCATAACTATTTAGCTTTTTTAATAGCCTCTTGTGTGGGACCTTGTCAAAGGCCTTTTGGAAGGCTAAATAAATTATGTCAACTGGTTCTCCTTTTTCCACTATATTACTGCCACATTCACACATGCACATAACAGGTTTTATAGCTGAGACCTCACCAAAGCAGAGAGGTATGATGTCTTATTAAATGATCTCCATAAAGGCGATCATCAATGTATGATATAGAGAGACTTGTCATGTGGAAGAGAGAAGAACATTTACATCAGAGAGCTCTTTAAGGAGGAATATGTGTCCATCATTTATAAGTGGAAGCATTTATACTCCCTTTTTTGAGTAACTCCTCTTTAGGGATGTTATTTCATGATGGAGAGGTCAGTGCCTTTGTCAGTGATAAGCAATTATATTGTGTACTTTTCATTTGGAGTCAGATGTTATTCCAGGTAGAAGGGCTCAGCACTTCTGCCATGTATGGGCAAAAGTAATTAATTTTTACCCACACTTATGAGTAGAATAACATTTCCAGGGTGAGAGGTCTGCTTGATGAGAGGATAACAGCATTTTTTGTTGTATATTGATGTCTGCAATCCTCTTTTTCATACTGGTTTTATTAGTATGACTCATACTCATTATGAAACACAAAGACAACAGTTTTCTATACTTACAGGCCTCTGACTTATACAGTCACTTTTTCTTATAGTTGTTCTGACTGTCACTTTCTGGCAAATCCTTTCTTCCTTTCTACCTGATAAAATATAGAAAATGTTTATTCATTAAATAGACATTGTGTTCCGTTTATTCATTCTTTAAAATGTGAAAGGACAATTCCAATAATTGTAATAATTGAATTCTTACATTTTAAATTAATAATATGGCAAAATATTATTTCCATATCTAAATCATTAGGCAATGACAAACCAGTAATATATTAATAAACATTTCCTGGAAACAAATACTATAGTTTCTAATTATCATATATGAACACATTAATCAGCATAGTCATAGAACATATAAAGAGGCTACAACTGTTGAAATGTTAGAGAGATTTAATAGTTATGTTGTAAAGCTTTTGAAGATTGAACCCACATAGCAAAGACAAACCGAGTGAATAGAAAAGGGCAAAATGCTGTATTTCAAACTCTATCAATACTAAGGCTGAACTTTATGAAAACAACAGACACTAACTTGAAATTAGTGTTAATTATATTATTTAAAAGACATATTTTACATAATTATTTCCTTGCTCTTGCTCCTTAGAACACTTCTGAAACTGGCTATCATTAGAAGGTAAACCAGCTTTAAATATCCATCACATAGACTAGGGTCCAGGTTTACTGATTGTGGGAGAGGTCTGACAGGGCTTTGGGAAGACTTAGTAGGAGATATGCACATCTCCTCCACGTATGTGGGGTATTTTGTAGTAAATACTACTCCCATGGCTGAAGCTGGTAGTACTGGGGATAGCAAATGCTCATAGAGGTTTATGAAAAGATTACATTTTTCTACAGTTACGGATTTTTGTGGATTTTTCTTTTAGCCTTTGGAAAATGAATATTAAGGATACTTGTGTCACAAAACAACTAAAACCATGATACTGAAACAAATGCAAAGGTTACACAAAACCCCCATACCACAGGACACAAGATAAGTTGTGCTAGCTGTATCTATTATACAATATACATTTACTACACCAATTTCACAACCAAATCAGAAGTCACTGTATAACTGTGTTGCCACATAATCATTTTGCATCTTCAGCATCTAAATTAAGTGGGACTAACCAACAACGTCCCTCTTCACTTCAACACAATCCCATTCCTGCTCCACAGGAAGGGCAGAACATATGTTTTGTAAGATCAGCAAGCTCTGAGCAATCCAGTGACGCGTGTGGAGTAGCCACGGAGCCGGTGGGTACTCCATGTCAGGAGTAAAGCACGAATCTTCTGGCTTCAGGGGATAGATGCCATGCTATCCTCTGACAAATGCTATGCAGAATCAAGATCAGGTTGGTTGGTATACTAAACACTGTACTCTCTTACCAAAATGGCTGTGCAAGGGCTTGTCTAAACAGTGATTTAGTGCATAGCAAGCAAGGGGTGTAAATTTACAGTGCGTCACCCATTGTGCACTAAGTAGCCATGTGGACTGTGCTCCTGCACACTAAAAGTTACATAGTGCACTTTGATCTACTACTGACAGCACGTTCCAACAATTAATGGGCTTAATCCTGAGATGCACTGAGCAATAGGAACCTACAGAGGATCTCTGCTCTATGGAAGACTCCAGGGGATCAGCACCTGTCAGGATCAGGCCCAATACCAGTATGGTATTGGTTATATTACATTGATAGTCAAGTATAAATATATCCCTACAAATAATTATGTTATACAAAAAAGATTATGTTATATAAAAAAGAAAATACATTATTAAAAATAATAATACCTGGTTCACAATTTATACTATCAGTAGAGACTACAGGGCTAATGGCAAAGGGTAATACACCCAATCCAGAACCTGGCAGAATTATTAGGAATATAAATTTCTTGTAAAATAAAAACATTTTTACACAAATGACATTTCATTAATTCTTACACTGCCAACTGCAATTTTTCTTTTGGTAAAAACGTAATGAACTTCCCGGTTTGCCTTCCAAATTTAGAAATTCTGCATTTGCTTAAAATCTCTCTGATAACACCCTAGACTTAGTACTTTCCTGGTTAAGACAAAACTTCAACAGTGTTTCCATGCATACCACTTTTGCAATGGGTATCTCATAACTATGGCAAGGTAAGAATTAAGTATATGAACTCACTTTGCATGCACTTAATCAAGCTCTTTTCAAAAGGATTACTTGTTCCCATTACAACCCCCAGGTGTCGCAAGCTCTATTTTTAATTTGTCTTTTTAACTGCTTTACCCCAGGGCACATGCTTTTAGTTTGAAAACACAAAAACAAATAAAAATAAAATAAAATAGCATGTAATTGTATGTATTGTATTTTTGTTCTTAGCAGCCACCTCAGCAAATATTTCTGAAGTATAACAACGCCTTTCCTGAGGCCACAGAATATTGTGAAAGCTAAATCTTTCCTGATTACTGCAAAAAGCAGAAAATATTTGTAGCCATTAATACTTTAGTCTCATTCTCTAAATGAAACCCACCCAACTTGTATGGCTTCAGTGAAATATTTTGCAACTTTACTCCAACCAGTAAAAGAATAACTCCTTTGAACGTCGCTAGCACTATTCTTGTGCAAGGTTTTTTATTATTATTATTATTATTATTATTATTGTTTTTCATTCTGAAAAAAGTACTCTATTAAGCTACAATCATTTCTGGCTTCTTTGCTGTGTATATGAAGGAACAACATTCCATCCACATTCCTAAACATTGATTTTCAGGGCCTTGTATGCCATGGATGCTAAATATAATTTTATTTGATAAATATGAATAGATAAATATATGCCTTTATGCAGCCACTCTTTTAAAAGAGATACACGTATACATACGCAGCTATCATATTGTACTTTTGAATGTCAAGTATGACACAGTGCAATATGAAACTATACTTATGTGTTCTTCTGCGATATTATTGATTACAGCTCATTTTTAAAAATGAAATTCAGGATTTCAAAGGCATTTTATGCCCCAAAATTTTAATTCTGAAGAAAAAAAGTGTGCTTTCCAAACAGCTCTATTTTTGACATTTATTAGCAGCTATTTATACAGAATCAAGGGTTTTATTTTATGTAGTTTAGAATTCCCAGCTTGAATAACAAAGCTTAGTGTAGTTCAAAACTACAGACACAGGACCAGATTCTGTTCTCAGTCTGTTTTTACACTGGAGTAAAAAGAAATCAGAATCTGTCACATAACCTACACCATAATTAAGAACTTGTATGTTTTAAACATGCACATTCATAGAATGTGAATATATAACTAGATAGCACAAGTGTACGTTTGGTCTAGATTTGTGCCTTTTATCACCATCAATAATTATTTGCTCTACACCCTACAATTTTTTCATATTTTGGATTTAAATGCATTTTCCAAAATGGAAAGGGTTAACTTTTTAATTTAAAAAATATTGTATTCCAGCACTCTGACCCTAGAAAACATACAAGAACAAAACAGAATAAACCCATAATTATACAATTTGTTTCAAAATATGATCAAAATAGGTATCAATTTTAGAAAATTTGTTCTGAGCTTTTATAGAGAACACTATAAATATGTATATGTATCGTTTTGGAGTAATCTTAACAACAAACAAATCTTTTCATTATTTAAATTGAGATTACTTTTCATCTTCCTCAGGCTGTCTTTGGAGAGATTTGGTTATACTCCAGAAGGATAAGGTTAAATATCACCATATCAGCAGCCATATGAAGCAAGGCTTTTCAATAAACAGTTGTTAAAGAACTATAACAATTTTGTTTGATTTGGGGACTGCATGCTTTTTCCTTCCTTATGTCCCAGCAACTGAGTTAAAAAACACTGCTCTCCAAAACCAAAGCCAAACTAGCATGTATTGCAGCAGCTTTCTTCACTTACACGTCTTGCAGCAGCCATCATTATAAGTCTGTACAGTGCCTCCATTCTAGGAAAAGAAAAGGGGAATATATCAAAAAAGACTGTGCCCAATGGAATGCCCTGCTGTATCCAATTACATTTAGAACATAATGGGCCAAATCTTCAGTTGGTGTAAATTGGTGCACCATCACTGATGTCAATGAAGTTACAAAAATTCACAGCAGCAAAGGATCTAGGGTCAAAATCTCCAATCTGTTTTAAAATAGAATATTTGAAAAATCAACTTGCCATTATGATTGAGTTTATCTGAGCTGGTCTCTTTTGAATCAAGAGAGCAGTCATCTTCTATAGACATTACCATCCATTCTCCCACTGATGGCTCAATTAACATTGGGAGTTACTTAGACATTTACAAATTTCCATATATGAGTAAAATGTAATTTTGTTGAAGATTTAAAAGGATTTATATTGCTCATGTACCACAGAAATGAGCACAGTGAAGATACCAATTAGATAGCTATTTACAACTGAATACCTATAATTTTGCATCATGTAATATATTTTCAGAGCTCTAATTCATCCCTTCATTCTAGTTTTTTGGTTTTCCTTTCACATTCTATAATTAATCTTTGTTACAGTTTTCTTCTCAAATGTATTGTAGGCAGGACTGAAGCAGGAATGCAGAAAACATATCAAAATGAGGAGATATTCCTTTTTAAATTAAAAAAAAGGATTTCTCTCATGCAGAACTGACATAATAAACAAGAGAAACTGTCCACACTTTTAATACATTTACAAAAATTGCAGATAAAGCAGGAGAGTGGATGGGATGGCAGTCTTGTACTAATACGGTACAAAAGATGTTTTTTTTAAACTTATAGTATTGGTTTTCTATATTGTTATAGAGAAATCACTGAATAATCCATTTTTCAAAAACAAGCACTTAAAGTTAGCTTCCTAAATCCATATTAGCTCCTAAATTAACCTAACCTGATTTTCAAAACTGCTGAGCAACCTCAACTCTCACTTGAAATCAATGCTTAGCACTTCTGAAAATCAGGTCAAACTGATTCAGAAGGATAATTTTAGGAACACATGCTGGAAAATCTTGGCTATTATTATTATTAAAGAAAGATCCTAATAGAATGTGATGAAAAAGCTCCAAAAATAAGAAAAAGTTTTTAACAGTGTCAACATTACTTTATGATAAGGTACTTTATTTGGGATAGCCAGGAGAGTGGCTCTGTGCCCTTTCTAAATAGCATGCAACAGATTTATAGATCTTGTGCAGAATTTGAAATCAGTACTCAGGACAGATACTGCAATGTATTTTTAGGAGCATTGCTTGAACAGCCACAAGAGCAAGAACTAGAATGTACAAAAAACAGAATAATTAATTAGGATAAAAGCTAGAAACATATATTCCCTAAACAACAACAAAAAAGTGTGTGTGTGAAGTATCTAAGTCCTTTGAACCATAGCTATTTGGTTTACAGATGTTAATTTTTAGGTAGGTATACTAAGTAATTTGTAATCTTCATGAACCAGAGCTACTTGTTTCACATAGAGCACAAAGTCTGCAGGTCTCCTGAAGTGTTTCTAATCTCTGTTCAGTTTATGGAATTTTGAAACTCTGCTGCTGCACATTTATCTGCTACGTTTCTAAGTGGCGTGAAACAGCTTATTTCATTTATGTGTTTATAAACTCTGTGAATTATAGGCCCTATTCAGAACTCTCTGCTCAGACAAAATTAAAGGGAGTAAGACCCCTATAAGAGTGCAGCTTAATACCAATTAAACAAAATTTTAAAAGTGGACGTTGTTTGGGATTTATGATATAACCCTAAAAACAAACAGAAGAGTAGTAAATAAGACCATTCATTGCTCATTTAAAAGTTGTTACTTACCAAATGTTTTTTTAGATTAATCATTCTATGGAAAGTATAATATGGGTGTCAGACCCATAATAGTTCTGAAATGAATGCCAAGCTCCAAAACAAAAGATTAGTTATTATGATTTACATCACAAAGTACAAACCTTTGTGCATTCAGTCTCATTAAAAGGGGGGCAGACAACACTAGATCCCAGTATCATAGCACCTACAGCAGTCTTTGCACACTCATATTTGGTGCAATTGGAGACCCAGGTGCTTCCCTCCTACAAATACAAAACAAAAATACCAGAACAGAGAGCAAGTTACAGCAGCACTGAAACTAGAACATTGTTTAGTTATAAAGGTGTTATTTCCACATGTAGCCACTAAGATAGTGGACAGACCCTGGGCTCTATTCCTCGCCAATGCACCAGCCAGAAGGAAGAGCCTGCACCTGAAAAAGGGCTGGTGCAATTTACTTCCCCGTGAATCAGAGTGGAAACTGAATTATGACTCAGAATAAGTAAGAGTCAAAGAGTCATAGAGTTTAAGGCCAGAAGGGATCACCAGATCATCTAGGCTGATGACCTGTAGATCACAGGCCACCAAAAGTACCTAGCACCTGCACATTAAACCCAGCCACCAAAATTAAACCAAAACATTACAGTCCACAGGAAGAGAATAGGAGGGACCGAGATGCTCCAGTGCCTGAGACTACTGCAATGGCAGGGAATTGATTATGTCAGATATACATAGATAATCCCAGTAAGTGATTCACACTCCATACTGCAGAGGAAAGTGAAAATACCTCAAGGTCACTGACTAGCTGACCAGTGGGAAAATTTCATCCCAATCCCACTATGACCATCAGTTGGACCTTGAGCATGTGAGTATGAGCCAGCCAGCTAAGCATGTGAGTGGCAGACTGTTCAGTGCTATTTCAGAGCATTGGCCCACCCCATCCAGTGTCCCATCTCCAACCATTTCTGATGCTTCAGAGGAAAGAGACCAAAAACAAAAACAAAACAATAAAACAAAACCCAGAATATATTGGGGAAAGGTGAAATCCCTTCCTGATTTCCTGCAGGCAACCATGAAGCATGAACTGTAGGAACATATGAATATTAATCTTCTTAGTATTATTAATCTTTCATTTATATCACATCTGCAATCCCAAAATGCTTTACAACCTCTCCAAAAAGTATATAGTACAGGAATCACTAACACCAATCACTGGAAGGCAGCCACTATTCTGTGTTCTGAGCCTCTACCAAAAAACATAATAGCAGCCATTGACCCAATCCTCTCTTTACAACTCACGTTGGCAAGTTTGCTGTATATGTCTGCTTAAGTGTTTGAACAAGAGCTTCCCTGACATCAATAATATTTCCAGTGTCTCTTAGGGAGCCTGATTTTCAGGTGTGCTGAGCACCCACAGCTCCCATTGACTTCAGCTGAAGTTGTGGGTGCTCTGCACTCCTGAAAATTGGGTGCCAACAGCTAGCTCCACAAAGGGACTTGGGCATTGCAATGCTAACTTTTAGGCACACTGCCACCCAGTTGAAACTGCAGCCCTCAGTTAAGCATCCAGGCTCCCTATGCAATGCATGGGGAGAGTTAGATGTCAACAAATGGGATTCACAGAAGTTAGCATGCTAAGCTAACCAGTAGGAAATGCCAAGGACAGGGGTACATCTTAAGATCTTCAAAGGTAGTCAAGTGCCTAAGTCCAGGTTGGAGAGAGGCACCTGTCTAAACCTGGGATTCACAGCTGTGAACTGTCTCCTGGAGTTAGGTGACTAGGTCTTTCTCATGAAAAACCAAAGAGAATGATTCCATTATAGCCAGTAGCCCAGTGGTTGGGGCACTTGCAAAGATGTGGGAGACCTATTTGCAACCCCTGCTGCAGAGCAGAACTTGAACTTTGAGTCTCCTATATCGGAGGTAAGTGCCCTAGCCACCGAGCTATTGGGCATTCTTGGGGGAGGGGCTTGCACTATCTCCTGTTCAAATTGTTCCACTTTGTATAAAACACTAAAGATTCATTGGAGGAGGCATTTGAACTTGGGTCTTCCACATCCCTGAGAAGTGGCCTAACCACTAGGCTTCAGAGTTACTCTCACTTTTTGTTTCTCTGGCCAAACGAATCTTCGCATTCTCAGACTGCCTATTTGATTGGGCCCCGCATTCTCAAGCCTAGTTTGAGAATCCCACCAGGGCTTAGCCACATGCTATAGTGTCAAGCTGTTCAGCAGTGGCAGGACTTAGGCAGTTTTGCACATGCGCAGTGGTGATAACTTAGGCACCTATGGGACTTTACTGGAAAATGTCAGGTGCCATGGGAATTTAGGTGCCTACAGCATTAGGCAGCAGTCAAGCAGAGATTCTGAGGACTCACTGATGCTTAAATGTTGGACTTATATGCCTAACTGCCAATTTAGGTGTCTAAGTTCCTTTATGGATTTAGCCCCAGGTGTTTAGATCAACTTCTCTGCTCCGCTATATCTGCTTGCTGATGACAGACAGCCATGTGGATACAGCTATATTAAATACCTCAACTGTCCACATGGACAGACCAAAAGTAGGAATGTGAGAAATGATAATACAAGAACCAGCTAAAAGATGTCAGTTAGATACCTGAATATGTGCTACTGATACTATTATCGATACTACTGAATATGTGCTACTGATACTATGATTTCCTCCAGCTGTCCAGAGGCACTTACTTCATGTACAGATAGTGTTCCATTTTCAGTATAGAAAGTACAAGACACATTTTGGCAGGTTCCACAACAAACATGATGACTGGAAGAAGGAATGTATATTTGATGCTGTTAAAAAAGAAAAAAAATTAAATTAACCTTTTTTTTAACGTATAGGTCACTAATTATCCCATCCCATCCCATCTCCTAGAACTGGAAGGGACCTTGAAAGGTCATCGAGTCCAGCCCCCTGCCTTCATTAGCAGGACCAAGTACGGATTTTGCCCCAGATCCCTAAGTGGCCCCCTCAAGGACTGAACTCACAACCCTGGGTTTAGCAGGCCAATGTTCAAACCACTGGGGTGGTTTCCTTGTCTGTGTTCTCTCTCAATAGGGATGGTCCCAAGTCACAAAGTTTGGATGTGAATTGACATTCAAATTCTCCAAAGTGTTAGGCAGGGACATGATCTGGTGTTTTGATTTAGGCCCATCTCTACTTCTGAGAGGTTACAAAAACTTAGAATTTTATTTTATGATGAACCATATGATCTTTGCCCGTTCCTCAAATCTTTCTATATTCTTAGTTAAATGAATGAAGTCCATTTTGACCATTAAAACATGACATACCAAAATGAACAAACAATATAGGAGATCTATTTTGGTGAGATATATTTACTTTTTATGGTACACATTTACAACAAGAGATTGCAAGAATGAAGACAAGCGACTAAGAAAGAAAGCTGGGAATCAAATCTAAGAGAAAATGTGTCATTTATTAAAAGAGTAAAAAAGTGACACCATGGAATAGGAATCCCATCCCACAAGGAAAAGGGAAAGTGTTCCCATGGCATATTGTCATTTTTACTTAAATTTGTGCAATATGTGTCCACTACAGCCTCTGGAAGTATGAATAATAATTCAAAAGCATCAAAATTAGAGAATTTTAATATTTACAAAAATCATCTTCTTCCACTCCATACAAAAGAAACCACAAAAGAAATTCAACCCACTCAGGCAACCTCCCTCAAGCAAAAGCCTAAGCAACTCAATAAGCTTTACAATGTGCCCTGGAGGGGGGTTGTCAAAACAGCTAGAAAAGTGAACCCAAAGTGGACATCTCTCCACTGAGAATATCCTGTGTTTCAAGAGGAGTAGCACAGAACTCACAGCCCATTGAGAAGGTGGACTAAGGTGGTATTAAGCCACCTTTGCATCCTTCCAATCCTGAGCTGCTCTGAGACCTCAGCATAATTTATGCAGTCCTGGAGGCCAGTTTAAGTTACGGCTTCCTCACAGGGACATTGTATAGTTTTCAGCACTGCCCAGAATCTCCACAGTGCTATATGCTGTGGCCCTGTGCTCAACACAATCCTCTAGCCTGCCTCCTGGCACACCCCCTACACACCTGGGCTTATGAAGGGGTCCCTGGAAGGCAGCCTTACAAGGGAATTCTCCCTGACTGGATATTGGGCTTCTTAGGACCCTTTTACA